CTCTCTCTCTCTCTTTGTTTCTCTCTTTCTCGTGAATTCAGTATTCGTATTGACCTGTAATATTTCGATTCGTGGGATTAAACTTCTTGTTGTTAATTGAATTCTTGTTATTTCATGAACCTGATTATTCTTGTATATAGAGTTTGGTGGTTATTATTTTTATTATTGCTTTAGATGAATGATAAATTTTGGATGATATTAATAAAAATATTACTTACCCATTCCTGTCTTCATTCTCGAGAGGAAAGGGGAGAAAATACAGGCGTTGGTAATATCTAGATTCTGAAATATATTAGATATCGTTTCATATACAATATACAGATTTCTCTTGTGCTTAAACATGATTGAATAATTTTACATCCTAAAATGTACTCAACATAAATAACTTAATCGATTGTATTAGGTGCTCTTTCCATGATTTACATTCTAAAGGTAAAATTACCACCTCGAAGCTTGACCTAATACAAATCCACTTGGCATTACGAGGGATAATGGTAGTTACGAATTTCTCCAATTTTTCCGAGACACTCATTTTGTTCAAGAATTGCAAGAGTTGTCGCTTAATGTCAAATTTTATTATAGAAAATAAATTTGGGTTAAAATAAAGATAGTCTAAAAAATTGGGTCCCAGAGATTCGCCTCGTCAATTTGATTGACGGAATAGTTGCGAGATATTATTACATATACGTGGAAAGTTGGTAAGAGGATGAGGGAAGAGATATGGTTGAGCGGTTGGAACCCAAATCGATACAAACGCGGTTGGGTTGTCACACCGCGTGCCTCATCGCCAATCAGTCTTTATTCGATACACGTGGTCATTGTCGTTTTGGGTTTCATGTGCTTGTGACAGTCCCGTTAATTGAGACATTTAAACCCCTATCCATCAATGACTGGTTCGATAACTTCATTTAATATTTCTCTCCTCATTGTTCATCACTTGATATTACTCAATTTCGATTCAACGAATTGCTTCAAGTATTTTACGTAATCACACTCAATTGCGTAATGATAAATATAATGTTATTCACTAGATAATTCTCGTTAATCAATGCAACAATTGAAAGAAAAGTGCCTTCAATTTCATTCAATTGAGAACAGAAAAATGTTGATACTTTGGTATTAAAAAAAAAATGATGGGACATATTTCAAACCATTGGCGGATAGTCGATAATGCCAATAAATATGTCTTTTTATCTTTTTCTTCTTTTTATAAACGCCTGGTTTTAATGTGTACATAAGAGGAAACGGATATGCGTAATCGTATGTACTACGGGGCTTTTGTGGTTTTGTTATTTTATCCATTTTCTTGTTCTGCTTCCGATGTGCACTATGAGAGTGATCAAACTATTTCAAATGCGATCAGGTACTGCGGTAATTCATAGTTTTTCTCCTTCAAAGTGTCTACAAAATGCGCATCGACAGTGAAGATTTTTTTCTGCACATTCGGTTTAAGCGAAATTACTATAAAAATTCGTGATTCGAATCGATTTATCCAATTGCAAATAAATAATATCAAATCAATGCAGCAAATTATTGAAATCACTCGATAGCAACTGTTTCCCGGTTGGTATCTTCATTTTTCGAGTCTTCTGTTGATGTCCTGTCGTGATTCGTGCAATTTCCAGTTGCACACGTGTTCTCAGCAATTTCCAGCCATTTATGTTTATTCTCTATCACGCCCTCGACTAGTGGCTCCAGCTTGTCCGACAGCAATGCAAAAGCCTGAGTTTTAAAAGAAACACGTGTAATGAGAGAAAAATGTACGAAGAAAATTTCCTATCGAGGCATTTGCCATTTATGTGTCAGCGTTGTTAAGATAATGGGGAAACTTTATCACTCAGTTTAATGTACCTCATAAATGGGAAGACATATGGAATCGATGAAGCCGACTTGCATCACGGGCAATTGATCCTCCTTTTCTCGATTCATGATATCCTGAAAAAGTGTCATAATTAATACAAAAAAATCAGCCGCATATCATATTGTCAGTAAAGTTAACCCATCAAAAAATTTCGCTTAAAACTCAATTGAAATTCCGTGTAACTTT